TTGTACGTTGGGTGCTTCAACGATGCCTTCATTCGGAGAGATTTATTCCACCAGGTAGCCAACGCGCCAAAAAGCAAGATGTCGCCTGCTCTATGTCTCGAACTTTGCAAGGAGAATCTCTACACATATGCCGCTCTGCAGGTTGGCGTTTGTGTGTTTGTATGTGTGTGTGTTTATATACTTTTTCGTATCGAATTTTCATTTTTCCTGTCTAAAAAGTTTCAGCGATATGAACAAGTTTGGTACTCTGTACCAAAATTATTGCCGTTGCCGATACGAAAGCCGATAATGATTGAGTAAGTAGGATCGCTATATAATATGGCAATAGCAGAGCAGCAATACTTCGATGTTAAATGCCTTCCCTACTGTATACAAGAAGTTAAGTGAAACAATTTTTAATAAAATTTTTCAATCCCAAGAATTCATTCTCGTGTTTATGCTCGAACGATTACGGAAGATACGGCCTGAGTGCCTCTTGCAACAGACCATGCACTGGTGATTTCGGTAGCAAATGTGGCGGCCTCATGGTCAACAGCATCTACTCTGGTCGTGAGGCTACAAATTTTTTAATAAAAATAATTTTCAATTTACGTAACTGTATGACATTATTGTCGCTATGTCATTCGTTGCATACCTAATTATTATTATTTCTATTTATTTATAGTTTTTATTTATACTTTTATTCATAATTATGACTTTTATTGTTGTTTTGATCATTGATTTAATTCAATAATATAACCTTCATTGTAGTTTTGATCATTGATTTAATTTAATAATATAACCTTCATTGTAGTTTTGATCATTGATTTAATTCAATAATATAACCTTCGTTGTAGTTTTGATCATTGATTTAATTCAATAATTTTTTCCCAACAAGTATGCCCTGCCGGTAGATACGGAGTTGGCTGCAGTGGGAGGTGCCACTGTATGAAGAAGAGGTGCGACTACGTGACTGGCAAGTGCCTGCATGGTGGCTTCTGTGCTCAAAATTATTCGGGATTGTCTTGCGAGAGACTAGGTTGACGTTTGTTTGTACTGTGTTGTTCGTACTGTACTGTTTGCTGTCGCTTGTGTATCCATTTATATCAAGTAATTTTATTCCCACCAAAGTTTGCTGAATGACAGACAAACTTTTTTTTATTTAGAATTGATTTGTAACTAAAAATTAGTTTTGACTGTTATTCATGTATTTATTTGTACTCGTTATATTGGTCGAAAACAAATGATTGACAGATGAATCCAGTTTCTCGTGCCCCGACAATGAAAACAAGTGCAGCAAAAAGTCACAATGCATCAAGTTGGGTGGCCAAGTTGCTTGCCCTCAAAGTTAGTGGTCTCATAACGCCACGCAACAACAACATACAACAACAACATACAACAACAACAGAGCAACAACTACAATAACAACTGCGATAACAACTTTAATTACAATCAGATGGCGTAAACGACTTGTTCCTGGGTTGCTACACAGACATGCCATCTCGGGATCTTCCACTCCAACTGATCAACAGGCAGACGTGCATGATGACCAACGAGAAATGCGTCAAGATATGCAGGGATCGTGGCTTCTCTTACGCCGCCACTCAGGTTGCCATTTTATTCTGTTTGTCGGTGACGTTCTTCATGACGTCATTGACACGTTCACGTTAATATTTTCAGTTATCGTTTTTTCCGTCAAATGTGATACTTTAAAAACTTGCTAACCTAACAAAGTTTGCATACTCGTGTTTCTGCGCACACGACTTCGGCAAATATGGACCGTCGAATCAGTGCAAACTGCGATGTCCGGGCGATGGCAACGAGATATGTGGCGGAACGATGGCCAATAGTGTCCACGCAGGTTATCACGCACTCTATTGACATTTTTTTTCTTTTTCTGTACATTCATTTATTAAATTTATTAACGTATTAACATATTTTTCCATAAAAGATAGCTAACTTCAAGACCTAAACTATAACGAACAATGCAAAAATATTCATCAAGTAATGAATTATTATTTAACAGTTCCCTAAAAAATTAGTTAAAATTACGAGAACAGGTTAAAAATTCGTTTACCGTCAATTGTTAAAATTCCGTTTCGCTTCATCTCATTGTCGTTTCGTTTCGTCAGTTTGTCCACCGGATCGCTACGGACCTGACTGCAAATCGAAATGCAGATGTAGCAATCATCGCTGCCACATGAAGACAGGCAGATGTTTCATGCAAGCACCCAAATGAATTATGACGACGACCATTTGAAGATCACTCACGGCACATATTCATGTATAAATATTTCCTCATTTATATTCCAAACTTGAGAAAACTTAAATAAATAAATAAACTTGATAGCTGTGCGTATATTATACACATTATATTATATCAATATGTATAATATACTTCACTCATATTCAATTATTCACAGCATGTTCTTTACATATATTCATAAATCCGTCTGCTTCAAACATTGCGGTGTAGAGAAAAATTCATTTAGTATTTAAGTTTGAGTCAAATTGTTGCTATATAATTTAGCCAAGCTGGGCATAACAATTTTCAGGACCACGTTATTTCGAATGCTGCTTATTAATTTTACCCTCTTGAGCCAAGTCCATTTAGTTAGTTTGGGCAAACCCGATATCTTAATTGGATGAAATTAAACAAGTTACCTCAGAAAATAACTATTTTATTATTTATTTTTTATTAGTTCATATGAAATTTTCATAATAATATCATGAAATTATAAAATTAATTATGTTTAGCGCAATAGTTACAAAGGTTTGTATTTTGGTTATAGAAACACATGGCAATAAAATATATTACGAACAAGCTTCCCAGAAACAGAAAACTGACACTATAAAACACATCAGATTAACTTTTATAAAAATAAGTCAAACTTTAAGCCAGTCTTTTTTATTTAATTAATTTATTTATTTATTCATAAAACTAAAAGTAATAAACATACATGCATGTTCACAAAAAATTCATTAAAACCAAAGAGTTTATTTATTTTATTAACAAGCAGGTAAGAGTTTCAATAAATACTTAATGACAGTCCAATCAGCTGTACCACACCTCAAATTATTAACTAAATTAATTCATTAAATGTTAAATTAACCGAGATTTAATTCCCATTAAGTAATAATAAATATGATTGATAATATAATTAACATAATTTAATAACATAATTAACATAAATTAATAATATTATGTCGTCTGTACCCTGAAGAGCGAATTTTTCAAGAAATAACACGAGGTTACGGTAATGAAGAAAAAATATAATAAGATAAAAATAATAAAATAATAATAATTAATAATAATATAAATAAAAATATAAGTAAATAAATGAATGGAACAGATAGACAAAGGTGTTTTGGAATAAAACGCACAAGCAAACAATAAGATACGCGCATACACAGAACATTGGAAAGTCATTTCTTGCCTTGCGAAACTAGATAGAGTAATGAAAAATTCATCAAATAACGTTTTTTTTAAACAGAAAAATATCAGAAATATAAAAAAATGACGTCACCATACGACGTCATCATTATCCTCGTTAACGCCAACATTATCCCTCGCTACCATACTCATCATCGTTTGATTGTCATGGCAAAGCAACCGTGATCTCATTAGTCTTCACCATTTACACATAATTTAAAACAAAGTTTAACCGCTTTTTTAAATAACATTTGAAAATCTACAAGAAGAACGTGTATTTATTACTCCACAAGAACAGAACACACACACACCACACAAATACAGTCACACACACACACACACACACACACACACAAGCAGCGTACGTATACAATGCAAGAAATTCATTTCATTATTTTTTTTATTTTATTCATCATAAATCCGTTTCAGTTTAGGCCATTTTTTTTTGCCCTGAAAATTCGGTTAATAACGAACTAAGAACAACGGTTTTTTTTTATGTAATTCCGCATTTGTCACTAAACAATTGAATAAAAATAAATAAAAATAATGTAATTCAAACGTTAATAATTAATTACTTCTAATTAAAACATTTACTACTCCCAATAACTGTTAGGCCCAATCTGCAACTGAAATGAATAAACTTATGACTAAGTGCTAGGGGAAAAACAAAAACAACCTTATAAGCGAAAGTAACATCAAGTACCTTCATCATATCATCATCGTCAATTATATAAATTGGACATAGCCCTATATAAACCAATTTGAACACACACATACGACACATTGAAACACGCATACAAGCAGCACATACACACACACACACGCACACACAAACGAACTTTTAGATAATACGTACATATACGAGCACAACCTTCATTAACACAACAACACAGAATAAAATGACGACTTCTCTACATCAAGACCATCCAACAACGCAGATGTAAGTAAGGATTGTTGTTTAAATAAGACAACAATAAAAAAATGAAATGACTAACTAAATTCTGTACTGAAAATAATTCATCATAATTAAAATTAATAATTACAAAAAAATAAACTAAAAATAATAAAACACAAAGAACAATTTTTTGAAAAATCCACGTGTAGGTACATAGATAGTCAGGTGAATGATGTCAGGTGAATACAAATTTAAAGCAATAATGAAACAGTACATAAACACAATACATATCATATCATTGCTCTCACAACATTACCAATGCACAGGGAACACACACACAAACACACACACACACTGACACACGCACGCATGCCAAATATAAATAAGACACATATATTAAACAGAAAAGAACTTCAATCAGCATACTATCATTTCATCATTCAACGAATGAATGAACAAATGAATGAGCCCATGCTAAAGAAAGTAATCTCAAATGATAAAAATGCAAACAAGAATGTAAGTCTATGAGCCACAAACACACAGCACTGAACAAAAATATAAACAAATTTCAAATCCAGCCACATATAAAACGAAACAGCACTTAAAAATGAAAACTATACAATGGAGGGAGGCCCACTCAACGAGGCCCGCAACAAAACAACCTCCAGGTACCCAAATATGACACCCCTTTTTTCAAACACCTCCACCACCACCGCTGCTGTTACATGCATCTTTCATGGCTCTGATGTTGCTGCAAATTTTAAGCGCGGGCCCAAGTTTGACGTTCATGGCGGTCATCAGGTGGTCCTCGGTCAGTAGAAGCAGGGCCTGGCCGTCTATCTCCTGCTTGCGAAAGTCGTCTGCGTACAAGGAGCAGCCGGTCAGCGATCGAATGAAGTTGTACACTTCGGAGACCTGCACAAACGAAGATGTACCATAATGAGTGAGTCAGTGAGCATAATACCTTAAATAAACAATAATAATGATAATAATGATATGGCAAATATGACGTAACAAGACGTACCCCCCACTGAGATGGGTCAGCATTTGGATTGGTTCCTAGGTCGGAAGCTGAAGTATTGTGTGAAGGTATGTTGTCGTTGTTGTTACAGCTGCTGTTACTATTGTTGTTGTTGTTTATTATTATGTTGTTGTTATGTGGGTAAGTACTGATGTTATTAGGTAACATGTTGCTGCTGATGGTGTTGTGTAAACTACTACTCATGGCGTTGTTGTTGAAGTTGTGGTTATGTAAAGCATTGTTGTTGTTGTTGTAGATGTAGCTGTTCTCATTGTCTAATCTTTGCTGTGATGTTGGGGAGATGATTATATGATTGCTGTTGAACTGTAGTGGTGTGTCAACCACAAGTAGAGGCTGGTATTGTTGTTGTTGTGGTGGTGGCGGTTGTTGCTGCTGCTGCTGATGAAGTTGTTGTTGCTGGTATTGATAATGTTGTTGTTGGTGTTGTTGATGGACTGATCTGTTGATGTTATCAAAAACGTTGCCGTGGTTGTGGATGTTGTTGCCGATGTTGTTGTTGTTGTATGTAGTTTGGTATGAATTGAGTTGGTTTGTTGTGTGGATGGTAGGAGATGTCGATGAGTTGCTGAAATTATTGTTATAGTTATAAACGTTGCTGTTGAAATTAGTGTTAACATGACTGTAGGAATTGTTGCTGTTTGGAGATCTGTACGGACTTTTCATCTGTTGATGTTGTTGGTGGTTAGTAGGTAGGGATGGGCTGTCCAAAATCTTTTTGGAAAAAAAATTAATCACATTTTTTAACACAATGTTGATCCAAATTCTTCAAAAATCAAACAAAGCTTTATAATTAACTAGTTGAAACAAAAAATAACAACCATCTTTGAAAAAAAATATATATCATCCATCCATCCATTCAACAACCATCCATCGTTCATTGACTTTATTCACCTCAATAGAATCACTTCTACACCCGACACTGTTATCACTGCTGACGTCGATATTAGGAGCAGCGCCACCATGAGACGCTACAGCCACTATTGGACCACCAGGAGAGAGAGAGGTAACAGGAGGGACCACCGCATCTCCACCATCAGTTTCTACCGATCCTCTTCCTCCAGAACTTTTTTTCTGATCCACTTTCACGACGTCACTGATCGTTGATTTCGTTTTTTTGTTGTACTTCCTCTTTTCCGGAACTTTTCCAGTTTTGTTCATTTTTGCAGCCGCAGCAGCAGCAGCGGCGGCAGTAGCTGTTGTTGAAGCCACAGTGGCCGCTGCTGTAGCTGGAGAATTAACGTCACGAGATGGTAGATTTTTGGCAGCGGCGGTGGTAGACGATGAGGTGAGGGCAGAACCTTTGGCATAATGCATGGTCCAGCGCGAGGTTGCTGCACTCCTTTTGGAACAGGATATTGAACAGAACTTACCGGTCTGTGAGATCATTATAACAATACAGTGAAGCGTGAATGTATGTAGTTAAGGTTGATTGAAATTAATTAGTCTTCACATAAATGCTGTCGCCGATTAATATACATATAATAAATTTCCCATCAAAAAAGGAATAGTGGTTTCTAGAATTTGACAGAACAACACACAGAACCGAATATTGTGTGTTTATTTTTCAAGTTTCATTTCAAATTTCGTTAAGTTACTTTACATATTTAAATTATAAATATTTTCAGAGTCTGAGTCAGAGTTTTTCATATCTGCTGAGTTTGTCACATAGAAATTTCAAGAACATAACAAAATATTCATTTTTGTTGATTTTGCTGTTGGTCTTTGCTGATATGTAAAATCAATATTAGGTCAAAAGCCGGAAGGCACAAGCAACCAACCAATAAACACAAAATTAGTTGTTGCAGCAAGTAAAGTGAACAGACCTTGCCTATTGCAGCTGACGCCAGGAACAGTTTGGAGCAGCAATGACAAACCATTTTATCTGCATCAGGATCTAAAGTGATGAAGAGAAAAAAAACAGATAATAATTTTCAGTACAATGACAGCTATAAAAGATAACGATCAGAGGAATGTTTATAAAGAAAACAATGACAAAAAATTATGATGACAGAAAATGCCAATGATGCCAATTACATACAGTGCTGATGATAGCCGTAAGATGACAAGTTAGTAAACAATAATGATGATGACTAAGATTGAAGGTGGCAATAACTACTTCAACAAGAACTAACAATTGTCTTTCTCATTATCAGTCGTAACAGTAGTAGCATCAGTAGCAGCAGCAGCAACAGTAGTAGCGGTTATACCAACTTTGTTGATTCTTGATCTGATGCTGTGGCATGAAGATGATGACGACAGCGTACCTTTTTTGACGTTGACGTTATCATTATCGACGTCATCATTGTGGGCAGCATCATCAACTTCATCATCTTCCTCCTCATCTTCATCATCTGTCAGACCGTCGGAGGCTTCGTCAGAGTCGTAATAGGCACTCATGCACATTGTTCTTGGTATCTTGGTATGATGGTACATTTTTTGATGAAGATATAGTATCGTCACATGATGATAACAATAATGATACATTTGAAGATAATTATGATGATTAAATAGCATTTGATGATGAAAATAATGACGATGACACGTCTGATAACGTGAATATGATGATAACAGGAGTAGTTAGCAGTGATGGCTATAAAATATCTCACAGGATTAATACAATTGCTGTATATTAACTCACAATGTCATTCATCACACTATTTCCATACCAATAGTCAATGGTAACAACAGCAAAACAATAATACATGCAACAACAATAACAGCAACAAAATAACACCAACACACGCAACAACACGTGTGCAACAACTAAATAACTACAGGGAATGGCTCTGGTCCCTCCTGTATGATGAAACCCTCGATGATATGAGTCAGTATATTGCATGGTTTCATTGTGGAAGCATGGTTATCAACAATGGTGTTGCCATCGTTGTTTGTTGATGTGGTTGTTGTTGTTGATGTCGTCATCATCACTTCATTACTCATCCTCATTGTAGCTGATGTCATTGCATCATCGTTGTTCTAAAATTACCATCAAATTTAACACTCTAGTCACTTTTTAAACTAAACTATGCCTTAGCAATAAATACTGAAAAAAGCAATGATATTGACCACAAAACTTCTGACATCAAACCTAGCTATAACATTAATGGTACAACAACACTAGCTATAACATTAATGATAATACCATTTGATGACATTAAAATTCCAAAAAAATACTAAAACCTGAATCACATTAAAAGAATTTGTTGATCTAATGGTAGACATATTGTTGTTGTTGTTGTTATTGTTATTATGGCCGTTATTATTATTATTGATGACAGCGGTCGTCACAATCGGTGACAACATGAATATATTGTTGTTGTTTGTACTGGCTGATTGGACATTAGAACTGTCTTCTATGATGGTGCCTAGAAGGAAAAATAAAAACGAGATGACACAAACATACACAAACACGCACGCATACACACGAACACACACACACACACATATAGACATAAACACGCACGCATACACACAAACACACACACACAGGCGAAAAATTATATAACAAATTAAGCAATTTTTGCATTCGCAATTGAAACCCTGATGAATAGATATAAGATAACATCACAGTCAATGAAATACAACTTAACAGTAACATAGAAAATCTAGTAATAAAAAAAAGAAATAAATAAATAATAATTTTCATAATAAAATCTACATTTTATGAAAAATTTAAGCATTGAAAAACGAACTGGACAGAATGGATGGAGGATGAAGAACTTTATCATTTGTAACATTACCAACGTTATTAGTGTTGTTATGATTATTGATGTTATTGTGGTTAATGATGTTATTATGGTTATTGATGTTATTAAGATTGTTAGGGTTATTAATGATGTTATTGAGGTTATTGAAATTGTTATTGAAACCGTAGGAAAGATGAGCATTGAAGCTATTGAGATTGTTATTTAAATTAATATTATTATTAATATTGTTGTTGTTGTTAATGTTATTGAAATTGTTATTGATGTTACTGTTATAATTGTTAGTGAAAGTGTTATCGATGTTATGTGAGTTGTTGTTGTTGTTGATGTTGTTACCGCTACCAGAGTTGATGGCATTCATTTCACAAGCAACCGATGCAGACTGTTGTTGCTGGCCAACAACAAATGAAGACGACAACGACGAAGTAGTCGCCGTTGTACAGTCGACTACGGTAGTGGTGGCGGTAGTACTAGCGCTAATAGCAGTGGCGGTGGTAATTGTGGCCGCAGTATTGTTACTAGCCACAACACCATTACACCTTTGATTAATAGATTGATTTAATAGTGCAAGCTGCTGTGCCGTTAGAAACTGCAGTGGGTTTTGGATGAATTTTTGAGGGGACTGGGAACTATTGAGGGAAGGGGTGTTGGCGTTGGTGGGGCGCAGAGAGTTCAAGGCAGCAAGAGAGAACGGCAACTGAGTGAACGGGGGCACGTTCATGTAAGTTGCCATCAGTGGTGTTGGTAGTTGTTGTAACTGCTGCTGCTGTGGCTGGGATGTCACCAATCCAGCTGTGTGATGGTGTTGGTTTGTCAGTCATTTTAATGAGATCTTGAGAATTTAAATCAAATTAAGCTTTCGTAAGATGGAGCTCATTCGTGCTATTTGTGAGTTTAAATCAAACAAGCAGGTTAATGCCGAAATAAATGACAAAGTTTAAAAAATAAAACAACTGGATAGAACAAAAGCTTTTAAAGTCCTAAATACTTAAATAACCTAATTTAAAATGATTTAAAAAAAACTTTCATGTAACCAAATGTTGAGAGCTGGGGCAGTGTATAGCCAGGCAAAGAATTAGCGGGAAGAACTGAATTGTTGTTAACGTTGATGCTGCTGCTGTTGTTTAGCGGTGTTGCTGGTACAACAGTTGGCAATGCGTTTGATGGTGTCACTGATGTATTAGCAGTAGTAGTATTAGTTGTTGTTGTTGATGGTGTTGTTGTTTTTGTTGATGACAGGTTGGCAGGTGGAGGGGGCGGTGGCAGACCCTGAACGACTGCTGCAGTGTTTCAATTTACACCATTGTAACTATAAATATCAACTGACATCATTACAATCTATAATTATCATAAGAATAATGTCATCATCCACACAGCTGGAAACAATGGATCAATGTGTAACTTAAAAAAGTTGACAAGGGAATTACAAATTTTATTTCATCCACTTTACAGTACTAGTTTTGTTGCATTTGCTGCTCTTAGCAATCAAACTGTAATGTTTTTATGTTTCACACACACATACACACACACACACACTCACACACACACACACACAACAAATATTTCAATGATTAATTTGAATTTTTAAATAATCTAGTTTTCCAATGAAAAATTAAATTTTGAAAAAATATTGCAATATGATGTATAATCTTTTTAGATTACAAATTATTATAAAAGGTGAGTAAAAAATTTATCTAAAATCTGAAAACTATTGTTAGAAAAACTTCTTCTCAAGTCACATTTTTCTACTAGAATGCAAGAATTGTATAACACAATTGAATGGGTGCTACATGAAGCTGTATATAAGATATTAAAAAGGTAGGTGTTATATCAAATGTTATATAAGGTGTTATATCAAATGTTATATCAGGTGTTATGCTAAATGTTATATCAAATGTTATATAACTAACCTTGATAATACATGCAGAAATAGTTATGCAAACAGTTGTTCAAATGTTGCTGCTGGGCTTGAGTCAACAGCTGACCTGTTGAAAATTATTTTTTTTTAATTTTGATTTTATTTTAAAAATCACTTTTTGCATCTAAAACACAAACAAAAGTATATAGAAGACATTTTTTTAAAGCAAAAATAACGGCTCAGTTGTGAACCAAGCATGTAATAAATTGTGTAGCTTTGGTTTCTGTCCATCAAATGTTCAGCAGCAACTATTAGACAACACAAAATCAACCGACCCTGTTTTAAAAGCGCTTGTTGGGGGAAGACTTGTGGTGGTACTTGTAAGCCTGGTTGTTGCTGCTGTCCTTGTGAAGTCGAGTAAGAAAGCTGTTGCAGTGCTTGCAGTTGTGATTGTTGCTGTTGCGTTAATGGCAGCTGTGGTTGTAGTTGTGGTTGTTGTGGTTGTAGTTGTGGTGGTAACATTTGCTGTTGTTGTTCTGATAAGGATTGCTGTTGCTGCTGTAATGCTAATTGGATCATCTGTGTTTGTAACTTTTGTTGAGTTGCTTGTTGTTGTACCGTTTGTTGCTGAGGTGGTGGTTGTTGCTGAGGTGGTGGTTGTTGCTGCTGGACTGGTTGCTGCATTTTCAACGAGTTGTGCAACTAATCTGAAAAAAGCAAATGTTTGTGAAGTAAACGAGCATATTGTATGGTCGTTTATTTTTTTGGCAATGATAGTTAATAAATAAACTAAAAAACTCTATTAATTAGTAGAGTAAGTCCCAGCCATCAAATGAACTATAAAAATTTTAATAAATTAAAAAGGTGTCATTGAACAGAGCATGAATGAAACAGAAATCTTCTTCATTTGATAAGTCAGGACTTCAAATTTTGTTTTGAACTTGTGAAACCAGAAACTAAATTGTATATTAATTAATTAATCAAATAAATAAAAATAAAATTTCACCTCACATCACAAAAGACCACCAGAAAACTGAAAATTAAGTTTTTGATTTAAAATCAAAGATGATTATTTTTAAAAATGTCGATCATTTATTTTCAAATGTAAAGCTGAAAATAAAACGCCCCATTCGGCGATAAACCCGTTCGCAGAAATTATTTTCAAAATTATTTTTAAACAAAGCCACTGAAGGAGCCATTCAGGGATGTGCGAATGTAACTATGTACCGGCAAGTAGAAGAATCGTAACTCAACTCGTTCGGTATTGAAAAAAATACACTTATTTATACATATATCAAAAATACATATATATGGAAAAAGTTATAGAATAAAATATATAAATCAAAAATTTTTACTAAAAATAAATTAATTTAAATTTCCCAAATATTATCAAACCTCTTGCCTAACATCAATTTCAAAAATTTAATATCTAGGGTATAATATAATTCATAATAATTTAAACCGTAAGTTAATGTGCATAATACACTGTAGTATAAAATCATAGTTTCAATTTGCATGGATTGGAAAATTCTGCGTATTTTTGTCGGAAACTAGAATCAAGAACAGACCTATAAAAATATTGAGTGCAACTATTTACTCAAAATCAGTTAAAAATTTTATTCAGCGTTTCCCAGAATTAAGGTTGTTTGTTACTTGGAAAAAATTAATTCTAAGAAATGGGAATTTTCGGAAATAGGAAATCGCTGTTCTGGAATCGGGAATGACGGGCGAGAATGGAAAAATGGGAAAAATGACATCAACGTGCGAAAATAAAAGCCTATATATGTATTTAAATATGTATACTCTCTTTTGGTTGATTAAACAAAAGTTTTTTTTTACAATGTTTAAAAAAATAGTTAAAAGAGGTTTGATGTGTTTTTATCAGCTAGGTCACAATCATCATCTTAATCGATATAGCAATGAAATTAAGTTTAAAAGTTTTGTAAATGTCAAGGTCGATTCCTCCCTTTGACGTGTTGTTAGTCCTTGATCGCCATGTATGTGCCTATGTTTGTGTCTATGTATGCGTGCTAGCATGTCTATGTATGTGTGCTAGCATGTATGTGTATGTGTGAATGCATGTATGTGTGCGTATGCATGCATGCACGTGCATGTGTGCGTGAATGTATGTGCGTATGCGTGGTAGTGTTAGTAATGTGAATACTTGTATGCATACTAACTCGTAAAATGAGTATCTTCAGTTTTTAAAATCATCAAAATCACTGATTTTAAACAAAAACAAAGTAAACTATATCGAATTGGTTTCTAATTAGAATGAAGAATATCAATAAAATGATTAAATAATGATTTTAAATCATTTGATCAACTCTCACACAACGCTCTTGGACACCACCTCAACAAACATTTTTGTCCGGTAAGTCTAAGCCTAAAAACATATCTATGTAAATTTAATGAATTTTGCATTAAAATTGTAACTGCTCTTCAAAAACCCCACAATGCTATGCAAAATTTGAATAAAAACCACAAGTATGGATAAAGGAATCATGAAAAATTTTTGAAAAAAGTCAGAAAGACTCGTTAACTTTCTTTTTTTTCTAAAAAAAAAAACTCTAGCACACCCCAATACAAAATTTCTGGTTATGAAGTTGTATGAAATAAAAAAATTTAGAGGTTGAAACGTTTTAGTAATGTTAAATAATTCACGTAATAAATAAATAGTAAACAATCATCAAGGTTGTCATCGTCATCATCATCATCCTCCTCATCGACGTCGTCGTCGCTATCATCATCATCATCATTGCCATCATCATCCTCACTATCATCATCATCTTTGTCACCATCATCATTGTTAACATTATCATCAATTTTAATTGTTCTAAATGATTCTATTTCAAAGTCCCACTTTGCTAATTTTAAAAAATTTAATGGGAAAATATCGTCCAATTCTGTTAGGCTATTTAGGAAAAACACATTTTTTGCAATCACAATGATTTTAATTTGTGAAACAAAAATAACTCCTATCAAATTTATTAATAAACAACTTTTAATTAAAGAACTCCACTGTTTAACGGGCCAAAAGTTGAATCTTCACAAATTCAATCAAATTGCTAAATTAGATTTCGAATGGTGAACAAACAACGTACGTGTGTGTGTGTGCGTGTGTGTGCGTGTGGTGTGTGTGTGTGTCTGTGTGGTGTGTGTACACGCACACCCTCAAACAAAAATTATTCAAATTTGTCATTATTATTGATTGATAAATTTTTCACATACTTACACACATACATCCATCAACAATATCCAAATATAAACACAATCACACAAATATCTATGAATTATATATATATATGTGTGTGTGTGTGTGTGTGTGCACGTGAAAGAGAGTGTGCGTGTAGCTCAGTGCACGCGCGAGAAGAGAATATTTAACTTTTGTCAAAAATTCACAATTACATAGAATAAAAATAATTACGACTGTTGCACTAAACGGTCCAGAATGGGCTGTAAGTAAACCAGCCCGCTAGCTCTATAAATACGCTCGACTCGTCAGCGTTGAAACAACAGATTTCATTCTAAAAAGTAGTCTTCTGTTCTGGTAGATGATAATTTTGATACAAAGTTAAATACTTAAATAGATTACAAATTTTTCTAACTTGACTTATTCCTCATCATGTCGAAGTTAACTCTTCTATCATTTATTTGCCTCGCGTCGGTTTATTTTTTAGGTGCCGGAGGCCACCTGAGTAGCGTGAACAGAAGGACAAGAAGTAGGGAGTGGTCGGGCGCCGATGGTGAAGGTTTCCACTCCTCTACTTCCCAGTACAACCATCGGTGCTCGCCACTCACTGATGGCATTCACCCGATTATGAAAGGGATCTGCTCGGCCGATCTGCTGAACGCCGTGAAGAGAGCTTGTTAGGATTGTTTAGTTTATTAATAAGTTAATCGATCGTTTTGTCCAATCAAACATCACTTCATTTCTCGAACATTCATCTGTTCATTCATTCACTCATTTATTTATTTACTCATGCATTCGTTTGCAAGCCAATCAATTATCGAAAGAGATCGAAGGGTGAATAAGCAATTTATCTTTCAAATGGACGCCGTTATGACGTGATGGCCTAGTGGTTAAGGCCGCCTGATGCTGTTTCGCAAGTGCGTGCAGTGACCGGGTTCGATTCGAATAAAACGACAAAAAATCCCAGCCTATCACATGCTTCGTCTGTAATGTATCGTTTAGCCGCTTAGCACGTATTCATGTGTGGTGTGTGTGTGTGTGTGTGTGTGTGTGTGTGTGTGTGTAGTTGACTTTTAACCTTTTTTAACCTCCCAGGTTCTGATCCCAGCTACAAAATGGAGAGCAATGCTGACATACCATCGAACTTCGACGATGATTTCTACGTGAGATTGGACAGGGAGGAGTTCATCGATGAGATCGCCCAAAACGAGGACGAGAAGAAGAACGCCCTCTCCATGTACGACATCTACAAAGTCGACCCCAAGGTGTCCGTAGAAAGAAGTAAATTATTTATTCATGCATACATTTATTCATTCATTCGTTCGTTCGTTCAGTCAGTCATGCATTCATTCATTCGTTATTTGTTTCATCGTAATTCATTCGTTGAACTTTTGTATCACTCTAACCGATATTCAAACGATATTATTCATTCATCATACCGTAACCCATCAGCTACACGGTAATTTAAACATCAAATTATTCAGATAAATACAAAAATTATTTAATTATTAATCAACCAAGTGTGTTTCGGTTCTTCGAAACAATTTTAATTTTTTATTTATATACTTATACCTAAACATATAGAAGTTAGCAACTTATGAAAGTTGAATTAGACACGTAAGATATTTCTACAGCACATTCTCACCGATTCACTCTCGCCCCAACGCCAAGGTCTGTGGTGCGACTGTTGCGTGCACGAATGCACCGCGGACCACCTTCGGGGGCACTGCAGCGTACTGAACAGGCAGATCAGTTTCCAGGAATTTCAGAATCTGTTCGTGAGGCACCGAGATTATTACGATTGGTGGGTGCCTAGAAATTTTGACATCACTCCATCTTCTCGCTCGGATGAAAATGAAGACGCGGACGGAAGGCAGGAAGCTGCAAATGACATCACCTCCCGGGATGATTACTTCATGGACTCCAACTTGCCAAACGGAAGAGAACGTTGATTGCAGCCCTAACTACAACTTCTTCTGCTTCGAACGCTTATTTCGTTCAGTTTTTAAACGATGACAAATAATTACATTGATTTCAAAAACTCTCTTTGAAATCTGTTTCTGTTAAGTATTCATTTTACAGCTAATAAAAATATAAATTCAGCATTCATTCACGTGTCTGTGTTTTATCGAGTGGATAGTGAAGAAGAAATATGTGTGTGTGTGTGTGTATGTGTGTGTGTGAAGAAGGCTCTTAAAATTCCGTAATTAAAGTTCGATCAAATCTCGTGTGGTGTACTCAAAATTCGATACGTCAGACGCGTTTTGCCTTTTTTGTTACTAGATAGTTTCCATAATTTGCGGATACAGAATATGCAAAATTGCAAGATATCGACACAGATGTTAATGATGCTTGTTTGGAACAACCCCTGCTACATTTCAATTCTTACATTGAAGTTCACCGAGTGCCTATAGGCTATAATGACTAATTCAAATTATTGTAGTAATTACTCTGCGTGATTGACTGGCATTACACGGAAACCGTGCAGGGCATTTCAAAAACAATTCTGAAGAAATTCTTAATCATTAACTTGATTACACGTCACGCTTCAACTTTGTAAAAGTTGTGGAACTATTTTAATACGAAACTATCGGACCATCATGACTGAAAATTACATTAGGCCATATTAAACAGCATGAAACACGGTATTTCATTTTCACTATATAATAACTACAGAATTAAGCACTAATTAAGTATCCAATTAATTAATTAATTAACTAATTAATCAATCAGTTAAATAAAGAAAATGTTTTAAATAAGACGAAGACTGAAACATGGCTTGCGTTGTGTGGTGTGGATATTGACGATTTTTTGGCAGAGCATCTTGATTGAAACAAAGTAAGTAAAAAAAAACAATTTCTAAGCAGGTACACGCGTTTGTCACAACTGCCTTTTAAGAAACAAACATGAAAGTTATTCAAAGGATAATTGGTTTTTGAACGGCATATATAGCGGCATATAGAAGCGTTCAACACAATGTGTATATGTAAGCTGTTCAGATAAATATGTCCTACAATGAAAAACTGCAATGTTTAAGCCATGAATTTCATCGAGTATTTGTATAAATTTTTCAAAAATTATCAAATTTTAACAAAAACTTTTATATTTGTCATGCAGATTAAAATAAAACAATGTTTACTAAATGAGAATCGTAGTTATCAACCCTAGTACAAATACAAGATTTGTATGGCGACAAAAATCAGTCATAGGATGATATAACATTTAAACAGTAAGTACAACTTCAGGAATTTTAACATAATTATTATCTAACGTTCAAAAATACGTACATAAAATAGTGTGTGTGTGCGTGCGTATGTGATGTGTGTGTGTGTATAGATTAGGCACACACACAACACACAGGCACGCACGCACATCTACAAATAAATATCTTTAAACATTTAAAATTCAATTCGTAACCGATGAATATGGAAAAAGCAAGAGAAAAAGAAATTCAAATTAAGAATCTTTTGTCCACCATAGTCTTACGAGCCAGATTGCTCCGGCCAAAACTGTCTCTAAAACTTCTGAGGACGATCTGTGACATTATAAATAAAAAATTAACTATATTAAAATCTTTTTATTTCATTTATAACAATAATCTATTTATTTTATTTATAACTATAATCTATTTATTTCATTTATAACAATAATCTATTTATTTTATTTATAACATTAATTATGAATATAATAATATTAATAGTAGATTTAAAAATTACAGACAGACGATAAAACCCTTTTGTCATAGACTGACTCAGACACACACGTACACACGCACGTGCACACACACACACGCACAAACAAATGATACATTGCATAGTTTGTCATCAATAATTACATAAAAATTATGAAGCAACTTTATTTCCATAACTTGAAATAATTATTTACTATGAAACCAGACAGCAGAAACCGTCATTATGACAAACCACAACACAAACCAACCCACACATACACCCGCACACACGCACGCACATACTACCACACACATACACACACAATCACACACAAACACACACACAAACATATACATAATACATATGTTTGTGTGTGTGTGTGTTTAATTAACAAACAAACAAATAAACAAACAAACAAACAAACAAAAAAACAAATAACCACCACAAATAGACAAACAACCACCACAAACAAACCAACAACCAACCATCACATACAAATGAACTAGCGAACCTCCATAAGTACGTAAGTGATGATAGCGTCTAGGACATAGTTGGTGAATATAAGGTCCATGCATGTCATCAGTAGCACCTCAAACATCATCAAAGTCATCTCGTGACCGTAGAACAGCACACAATCAAATGAGTGACCATTATCTGCGTCCAGTTTTTCAGTATTTACTTATTATTATTTTCCGATATTGACCATTTAATACTGACCAATCAATCTTTATCATTTAACAGAGATGAACCACGTATAAAATCAAAGGCCCCAAAAAGAACCAACCTCTATAAAAGGTGCCTAAGAATGTTTGAAACTGAAATTCAAAGTTTAGCAATGCCTCGAGTAAGGATTTCTTTTTTACTATGTAATCCACATCTGTGAGAGTCTGGATGTGTTTATGTTTGTGTATGTATGTATATATTTGTATGTGTGTGTGTGTATGTATTTGTAAGTGCTTGTATGTATGTATGTATGTGTGTATATGAGTGTATGTATGTTAATATAATGTGTGTGAGCTTACCAGATAATATTTATTGTATTGAAAACAAACGCAACGTGCCAGTGTAGAGCTCAGCAAGGATTTCGATGTCGGCATTGGAAATGGCAAAATAAACCAACAAACCAACCAACCAACAACAATAATTTAGACAATATAATCATTACAACACCATCAGAAACAATAACAACAACATCAACAAGAAAAACAACAACAAAAACGACGACAAAAACATCATCAACAACAAAAACATCAACAACAACAAAAACGACAACAACAACCGCAGCAACACCAACAACAACAATACCAATAACAACAACATCAGCAACAGACATGATCAATGTATGCCATCAGAGTCTGGTTCATAACGTAATGAGCCTCAACTGACTGTTCAATCTCTTTATCTATTCCTCCAATCGCTGACGTTCTGTTGTTCTGTTGTCGTTGTTGTTGTTGTTGTTGTTTCGTTAAGTAAGAGATAGAAAGAAAGAGATAAAGAAATTTAAAGGAAGAGTTAAGTTTGTTTGAGAAAAAGAGATAGACGGATAGACAGAAAGTGAGAAAGAACGATAGAGATAATGATATAAATGTTGATACAAAAAATATCCAGCATCAAATAACAGACACAAATGGAAATAAAAATGTAAATGTTTGCCGTGTTACTTGAGAATATAAGACAGGCTTGGTTATCCTGTCGATGTTGTTTCTTAACTTGTTGGAGACGATGATTTCAAATGTCTGCTCCTCGTCATCCGGGAGCAATCCTCTCTTGCTTACTATGTCTTTCTAGTAAGTGTGTGTGTGCGTGTGTGTGCATGTGTGCGAGCGTGTGTGATTGTTACATTTGAACATTTACCTTCTAGCAGAAACGACGCAAAAAAGAAAATAAAAAGATCAACCACCTCCTCCCTGGCAAAATTCTCATGCATCTGCCTCAGGCCAACATCGGACCGACCGTGAACCGACCGACCGTGTATGTAGTATCCGTAGAGATCCGACGAGAAGATGAACATGCTGATGTTGCAGGTGGAGCAGAGGTCCACGAACTGTCGGATCTTATCTTCGAAAAATCGCTCGTAGATCAACAAGACGAATATTATCTGGCAGATTCCTGGTTTGTCCAAATTTTATTCTCATATTCATATTTGTTTTATATCGCTTTGGCTTAATTTTTTTTGTAATTAATTAAAATTCATTCCATAAAATTAATTGATGTATAAAAGAGATTATCCAATTTTGTGAAACTCACTGAGAAATGAAGAAGTGAAATGAAAAAATATGAAAATAAAAATTAATTGACGTATAAAAGAGATTATTCAATTTTATGAAACTCACTGAAAAATGAAGAAGTGAAATGAAAAAAAATATGAAAATAAAGAGAAAATTATTCCTTCGGAACTGACCGACAGTAAGGTAGACGATACAGATCCAGGCAAATCTGAAGAGATGGCTATGCACGATGAAAATGTTTTCAGCGTCGTCGTTGTTGGCGTTGTTGTTGTAGTTGCTGTTTCTCAGCTTGTTGAATGGGTCCATGGTAGAAAGGTAGCCCAGTCCCACAACCTGCATGTGTGTGTGTGTGTGTGTGTGTGTGTCTGTGCGTTCGTTTGTGTGTATTGTGTTGTGTGTGTGTGTTTGTTTTTGATGTTTGTAATTCGCAGTTAATATGATTAATTATACGTATGATTGTAATAAAAGTTATTTACAATCGGGCAGGTAATAAAAACATAGTCTGACTTTGTGATTGAAAGAAACAAAAGACCTAAGCAAGGTTTTGCAATAAATCCACGCAGGACAACTTTTCATTCACCTCCTTCCTACTTCTTAACCTACCTCGAGGAAGAAGACAACGAGAATGAACTGAACGATGGTGTTGGTTTTCCTGAAAGTCTGGATCTCATTCCACTCGTTAGCAACCAAATACATCCTCCAGACAGATGGTGTCAGTTGCTGTTGTTGCTGCAACTGCCGCTGCTGCTGCTGCTGCTGCTGAAACCTGGTGCTGCTACTGCTGTTGTTGTTGTTTCGCAGCGTGTTCAGGGATGAAGTGGCTACGTTGGTTTCGATTTTCGTGGGTTTTTCCCAGTCCACTAAAAATATATCGACGTTGACTTGCGTGAAGATGAGGTGGATGACGTGGAGGAGTTTGAGGAGACATGCGCAGATGAGAAACGAGAGGAACTGCTCGTTGTGCAGGCCATCGTGTGGGAGGATGCTCACTTGCTTCTGGTTCTGAGGGGGAACAAGATTTCAGGTGGTTTATCCTCACTACCTACCTACCTACCTACCTACCTACCTACCTACCTACCTACCTACCTACCTACCTACCTACCTACCTACCTACCTACCTACCTACCTACCTACCTACCTACCTACCTACCTACCTACCTACCTACCTACCTACCAGCCCTTAATTGCGTACACCGTATTTTTGAGTGTACAACAATAAATGCATCACACATATTTTCCTACGTAAAAAAAAGAGAAAACTTCACTAAAAAGGTGAAAAGACTATTCTATATAAAAACCACATTGGAACCTTGTAGAAGATGAAGATCCAGACAGAAGAAGGTACGAGAACGATGAAGATTGCATTGGCCAGATGACCACTCATTATGAAGAAGCACTGGACGAGCGTGAGGCAGTTGATGCCTATCTGTTAAAAAAAGGTCAAAGGTTATTTCTACGCCAACCGTTGGAAGCAATTATTGACTGTTATTAGAGCTGCTGCTAAGTATCACAAATTAATTTAAAAAATTCGAAAAAAAGTTACAAAATTATTAGCTAATTAATGACCGTAATTAATTAGGACAATTTATCAACAATCAATTAGTCAATAATAAATTATTTAACATGAAAAGCTAGAAACGAGCTAATTAATTAAACGTATAATTAATTGAATAAATAATTCAATTGATTCAACTGACCTGGCCAGATCTATTTGACCAGGACCAGGTATCGATGATGGTGGCGATGAACGCCACGACCATCATGACGCCGAGTGATATCCACATGTCTCGCTCGTGTCTCGTCATATCCATGCTGTAGATGCTAGAGAAGAAGACCTGCGTTATTGTTGGTGATGGTGGTGGTGGTGAAGTTGCTGAAGCAGTTATACCACTATCATCGTCATCATCATCATCATCGTCACCATCATCATCATTGTCGCCATCGTTATCATCATCATCGTCACCCTCATCATCACCATCATCATTATCATCATCATCGCCATCATCATTATCATCATCACTATCGCCACCATCATCATCACCATCGCCACCATCATCATCATTGTCATCATAACCTCTACGGATTTTCCGGAATCCTTCTTGCTGACGGAAGCGTAGGTGAGCTCGATGTAAGGAGGATATATGAGTCCCGTCGTCGTGTCCTTCTGCAGTGACGTGAAGATCTTCAGACTTTGTACGTACATTACGTGATGGTCTGTGTCACGTGACGCGTGACGTCATCGTTGGTTGAAATGACGATGTTGTAAAGGATAATTATGATTATTTTGAAGTTGTAAAATGATGATGAATGATAAATAGTGAGTGTTGAGTGAGAATGATGATTGTAGAAAATCCCGTCAGTATGTTCGTTCTTAACAGATCCTACTTCAATCATCTGATCCAATGCCCCATGGCACAATAATGATAATAATAACAACATTTAAAATAACAAAAATAATAGTTATTATGTTAACGTTTCCATCATAATTATCACAATTATAATAATAATTATTATTTTCATCAATTCATCAGCAAATAAACACACCACTAGAGTCTTCCATCCTTCCAATGATATTGTCAACCATGAAAAACCTTCTTGTTAGTATCCATGATGATACATCGTCATATTCTGTGTACGTGTGTGTGTGTGTGTCTGTGTGTGTGTGTGTGTGTGTGTGTGTGTGTGTGTGTGGGTGTAAGTTTATGGAAGTAGAACAGCACCTTTTTCTAAATATAGATATTTAGATACAACTTTTTCTTTCGTCATCAACAACATCATCATCATCCTCTTCCCGGTCATCATCATCGACGTCGTAATCATCGTCATCATCATCACAATTAATTCACCATCATCGTTATTATCATCAGTAATTCATCGCCACCGTCGTCATTATCATCAATAATTCACCGCCATCTTCATTAACATAATTAATTCATCATCATTATCGTGGACGGTCATCATCATCGTCGTCATTATCATAATTAATTCAGCAGCGTCATCATAATTATAATTAACTCAACCATCATCTCCACCATCAGGAGTGACACGTGCGTACTTTTGCTGTAATCATCTTTCCAGGACTGAATGTTGGTGATTAAGAGAGGCACGGCGTATAGAAGCGTCTGTCGTTCGACTTCGTACTGCACGACTACATTTTAGTGCATTGATGCATTAATAGTTGTTGCTTGGTGAATTAATGAATTATTGTGAATTACGAATGCGTTGCAACGATTCACCGACTGAGTAAATGTGTGAATGAATGAATGAATGTATGGATGAATGAATGAATGAACAAATGAATGAATGAATGAATGAATGAATAAATGAATGAATGAATGAATGAATAAATGAATGAATGAATAAATGAATGAATGAATGAATAAATGAATGAATGAATAAATGAAAGAACAAATAAATGAATAATTAAACAAACAAGAAATGAAAATAAAACTAACTAAAAACTAACATGCATCAAAATACAAAGGTTGATACAAGGATGTTTTGTACAAATCATCTACCAGTACCTGGCACTGCAAGAAAATTATGTTATCATCATTATCATTTCTATTAATAATGATTAAATAAATTTCCTAATATTATTTATTTACTAACATTATCTTTTCAATAATTATCAGAAGCATCAACAACAAACACATAGTGATATAAATACACGTGAAATAACTCATCACACACACAGATACGTTGCGTGTGATTGGCGGGGATCTCTTTGCAATCGAACGCGGTCACTTTAATATCAGTGCCAGGCACTTTACCGCTACACCATTGCGCAGCCCAATTATAACAATTATGTATGCTTACAATTTATAATAAAATTTAGATATTATTTATAATTATATTTTATGATTTCTTCATAATTTTAATGTGAGGTATCAACAACGCACATAATTATATTTATTATGAATAATTATGAACAATTATAATTATTGAAACCATATTTATTGACCTTCTGTTTGAAATTAGTGCCGAAGGTAAAGGCCATATTTCTTGCCCTATAAGAAGACGGGCATAACTGCAGATGACCTTCACTGGCTGACCGCAAGCCTAAGAAGCTTCCTGCGATTGGATAGATAAAGTTGATTAAGTGGTTTAACACTTTTGATTGGTTAGGATAGATTAATTAGATAGTTGTTGATTGGTTGATTGGTTGGTGAATGAATGCATGAATAAATGAATGAATGAGTTGGCTGGTTGATTGATGAATGAATGAATAAATGAATGAACGAACGAACGAACCAGCAATAAAAAAAAATCATAACCATTGAGATGTCTGACAGAAAGAACGATTTTGAGAGTTGAGTCAGGGAACTGATAGCTCTGCTGAAGGTTCGTATCTTTCAAGATGGCATTAACTGTATCGCTATAGTACAACCAGGACACATTAACTGGCCTGAAAAAATATTTTAAAAACCAACAAACTTATTTTTCAGTCGCATTCATTCCATCGCATTCGTCGCGCAATAAAATGCTTATAAACCTATTATACAATATAATACATATTAGTATTAACTTTTCAACTATAGGCATTTATGTAGCGCTTTTAAAATAAACTTCTGAAAAATTCTTAACGAAAATTCAATAACTCTATGTACTTTTCATACCTTAAATAACTATCAATACTTACGGCGAAAAAGAATTAACATTGTTATTGAATCAATGCATATGTTGTATCTTAGGTATCTACAGAGAGACCTATCCTATTTGATTAATATTGTATCTATCCATCCATCCATCCATCCATCCATCCATCCATCCATCCATCCATCCATCCATCCATCCATCCATCCATCCATCCATCCATCCATCCATCCATCCATCCATCTATCTATACATCTATCTATCTATCTAGTATCTTACCCACCTATCCAAATCAACAGTGTTGGTCCTTATAATTGAGATGTAACTGTCGCACGTACCTCTCTGATATTTGTTGTACATCGTGACCGTGCACATGTTGGCCAGTTGCTCGCAGGCAGTCACGTTACTGTATGCCTTCTGTTGTCGTTGTAGACGTAAGGTTAGGATTTTATTTATTTTTTTTCTAATTTTGTCTCTTTTATTTGATTTATTTGATTTTATTCCTGATCCGATGAATGTATCTTCTGGGATTATATCAAATAACTTTGTGTAAATAAAAAAAAAATAAAAATGTGGTAATGAGAAGTTAAAATTCTAAATAGTCCAGTGTTGTCACAGGCAAAAAACAACAAAAGTTACATCTAGAAAGAAAACATCCCATCCCAAAATATCGCAACAAGTATCTATCCAGATATTAAGAATAATTCTTTAAAATGATATACCTACCTGAAAGTAGATTAAAATAGAGCAAATTAATCTAGCAAAATATTATATATGACGTACTCCACATTGGGCCACTGATGTTCTGGCGTGAAAGTTGAAGTACGCTGACTCTATCTGAGTGCCCTGAATGTGCAGTCGGTTGTTTAATTTTTGGCATCATCGTAAGATAACGCTCTTGAGAAACTAATAACATTATTTAGTAATAAAAAAAAACTAATAACATTATTTAGTAATAAAATTTATCATTTTATATTATAATTGCATAATATAATTTAGACATTTAAGTTTAATATAGCGGGGAAATTTCACTGACAATGTATGAAAATCTGGACAACTGTTGGCTGTCAGGGATGTTGATTATATCTGCGACGTCCTTATAACACATTCCATCCAGCTAAATGTATGTGTATGTGAGAGTTTGTATGTGTGTCTGTGTGTGTGTGTGTATGTGTCTGTGTGCGTGTGTCTGTGTGTTTGTGTGTCTGTGTTTGTGTGTCTGTGTTTGTGTGTCTGTGTGTGTGTGTCTGTGTGTGTGTGTCTGTGTGCGTGTGTCTGTGTGCGTGCGTGTCTGTGTGCGTGCGTGTATTGTTCAATTGAATAATTAAAAGCTTTGAAAATTTTTCCTACTCAGTGGTAAATAAAATGTCCATTGGTTGTTGTGAACATTTCATTAATATTATTAGTATTACAAAAATACAATAGCAATTCAATGAGATATTCAAAACGAAAAAATAATAACTAAAACTATAATTTAATTACGATATAACATATTTAAAATTATGATATAATATCATCATAATTATGACAACGATGACGTAAAATAATGAAGTAACATACCAGCTTGTCAGTAGCACATATGCATTTAGAATTTGTGTCTGATGTTACTCCAATAAATTGAGAGCAGTAAACGCAACTGTGTGTGTACGTGTGTGTGTGTGTACGTATGTGTGTGTGGTGTGTGTGTGTTAGCTGTAATAGATAAATTAACAGTAAATAAATAAATGTATGAATGAATTGATACTACCTATTCCTTTGCTGATTTGGCTCTGTGAAGTCATTGCAATTGTCACATATATTTTTATAAGGTTTCGACCAACCTCCATTTGTCAGCCTTTCAACTTATCAAACGAAAAATAAAAAATTTTATTAATTAGAAAATAAATTTATTTTTCAGTTAAATTCGGAATAATATTGAATATATATATATATATATATATATATATATATATATATATATATATATATATATATATATATATCACAGTGATCCCATTGA